CAGTGACTTAATGAGACCTTCAGCAACTTAGTGAGACCCTGTCTCAAAATAAAAACTCAGAAGGGCTAGGGGCTCAGTGATAAAGTGCCCCTGGATTCAATTTCCAATACCAAAAAAAAAAAAAAAGGACTAAATTTATGAATACATGTATCATTAGAAACTAGAACATGTTGGGAAAACTTGATTGGAACCAAAATTTGCTTTATTTTTTCCATCATCATTTAATTGTAAGAGTCTTAATTCTTTAAAAAAGCAGAGATAAAATGGAGTACGTTGATTACATTATCTGTATGTAAAGCAAGTAGAATTTAAGCTGTCAGATTTTCAAAGCCTTGTGCATTTTTCTGAAGGTCTGGTTTTGAGGTGCCAGGCAGATGGTTTATGCATTTCGGTTTAGCTTCAAGATCTTGCTAACTGCTTTTGGTTCCTCTATGAATACATCAGCAAACCATCCTTCTCCAGACAGCCAAAGGTAACCTCCGGATTCCAGGCAGTGAGAATCAATATACTAAGATATTTTTAGGGACTATTGATGGATTGCTGTGTTTTGAGCTTAACTCAAGTGCCAGATGCCCCAGAGCTGACGAAGATGAACTCCCCATTTACTGAGAACTGAATAGGCCATCACGCACGGAGGGCTGCAGGACCGCCGGTGGTGGTGTGTAGTTGGGGAGAGTCTCCTGTGTCTTTCTGGGGGTCTCGTTACCGAATGTCGATGAGGACTTTGCACCGCTCCGCTCGCTGGGGCGCCCGTTTCCCAGTGGAGAACCTCCCAGTCCTGGGAACACATAACTGCGAATTTTTAGGACAACACTGTACAGAAGCGAATCAATTAATTCTCCGTATCAGGAGTGATCTGGTACACGGAGGCGCTAATGGCCCCACATCCTTCTCCTATGGCAGCTCCGCAGAAGGCGGGAGCCGCGTTAAGCTGTGCTTCTGTCAGCAAGCTGAAAGCTCGGGGTCTCTGACATGGCTCTCAATTGCTAGCAGGTTTCTCTCATTGCACCTCATTTGCATCTGGGACATCAATTAGCATGTTTGTTGAGGCTAATTGAATGAAACTCAATCATAGCTCTTAATTGCTTGACTATGTGAAAAGAAATCACATTAATGCAGCTAATTAAGTGTACGGCAATAGATGCAACATAATTAGGAGCGAAATGTAAAAAACAAGGGATGGCAAAGGTGCGGGGGCAGGGTGCAGGGGACGGCAGGCACCGTTACGGAGCTGCTGGCACGCTCAGAACGGGTCCCTTTGCTCAGGCGCCTGCTTGGAAAAAATAATCCACATGATGAGCATGGACAACTTGAGAAGAAAAATGCAAATAGGTTTGCAATTACTACTTTTTCAAGCTGTTGAGGGGCAGGAGATGGCACCTCTGGGGGGCCTGGCTCTTGAGTGGGCCCCAGGGACTTGTTAAGTGCTGTTTAAAAGTACTTGGCTTTGAATTACCCTCATGCCTTGTTAAAGGGATCTTTCCCCTTTTATCTTCCATCAGCATTTTCTACAAGGAACAGGGTTAGTGGCACAGGGTAGTATCTGTGACATTTGCATATCAAAATCAAGCTTGCCAGTTCCCTACCCCAGACCTAGGAAGGCGCTCTGTGTCCTGCCTCTGAGGATACAACATTGTTTAGTGGCTGCAGCTCCTGTTGCTCAAGGGCCATGCTGGGGAAAGATGAAAAGGGTGAGTTCTTTCCAAAGTAGAAAACTGAGTGCGCTTTCTCTTGGGAGAATCTAGAAGCCACAGACCCCAGTGTCTTCGCATTCCCACTGTTTGTGAAGCACTAGCTTGGAGGACTTCGGAGGAGTTGTACTTGGTGAACACTTAGCATATTTTTTAGTGGCTTGAAATAAAGTAGTTGTCAAATTGACATTCTGATATTCTAGAGCCAGTCCGTCTGAAGTTTCAGCGCCTAACTCAGGCGAGAACGCAGACCCTAGCCCATGCTGAGCCGAAGATAAATGTCTTCCCTTGCCACGTTCAAATCCAGAGAGCAGACACTCGGTACATTTCTATAATAATTTTAAATAAAATATCCTGGTTATTGTATGTTAAAACATGCCTATTAAAAGAGCCCACGCTGAGGCTTAGTCACTCTCTGATTAGCCTCATTTTAGAGCTCATAAGCAATAAATGCTCAATTACACTCCTGTTATTGTATTTTAATTTGTTAAGAATTGGCATTAAAGGAGAAAGTTATAGCAAGTTGATATTTTTAAAGGAGTAACTATGCAAGAAGGAATTCCATTATTTACAAGCATTAACTTTGGTTTTGAAACTTGGAGTTGTGTATTTGGGGCGGATGTTAAAGGAAGTCAGTTAAGATGTGTGGGAACAACCATTTCTTTTAAATGACCTGCGCCAACCAAGGCTCACCCTCTCTTCCGACGGGCATTTCCTAGGCCCTCCTGCACGCTGAGCTCTGTCAGCATTTCTGAGCCCCTGCATTTCTCCAGCCTTCCTTGGCTGTCAATCTGATTGAACAGTAACAACATTTTCCCCGTCTTTCCACATCCTTTCCTAACCACATCTTTTCTCGTAGTCAATTACATTCGGGGGAGTCTGGCTTCTTGTCTTTGATGTGGGGTCTTCTCTCGGGTGGCTTGTGATTCCCAGCCTGGAGACAACCTTCTGCTTCCCCTCCTCCACCTCCCCTCTCCAGGGGGGCAGTTGTGGACCCCTGCTGGCCGGTCCTGAGGACATCAGGTGGCCCCTGCCCCTGCTGCTGGCCCCATCTGGGCTGGTGTCAGAGGTGTGCACTCAGCACCTTCTCTGGTATCTGGACCCTCTGCTGAGGAAGGCTGGCCTCACTGGGGACAGCTTCTGACCCCTCCCCATGGTCCGCAGTCACATGGGTCCTCCTGTTCCTGGCCTCAGTTTTGAAGCTTGTGTCTTGGACTGAGAGTTGGCCGTTGGTGGTCTGTCTGCGGGAAGTCGCCAGGGCCCTGCAGGTCTGCACCTGCAGAATTCTGTACCTCCCCTCTGAGCCTCTCCCCTCACTCATGGGGTTCCCACCCTCCTCCTCAGGAATCCATCACTTTTTCCTGGAGTCTGTTTTGTCCCCCCTCAATTGCAGAAAGGTGTGCACTGGTGACTCCCCAGCCACCCCTCCCGCCCACTGTTGGGTGGTGAGAGGGCAGCTCTGCTCACCTGCTTCCCGGACCCATGCTTACATGCCTGTCCCCCAGGCTGGAATCTTGGCCTCTTGGTCACTGTCACACCATCCCTCCAGCGAGCCAGCTTCTTGCATGTCGACAAACCAGGGGCTCCTTCACCCTCCACCTGCTGACCATGGACATCATTCTGCAGCTGAGTTAGAGGTCACTGACCTCTTTCCCTGAAGCCAAGGGGCCTTCTCTTGGCTCCCTGCCTTGATGGGTGTCCCGTGTCCACCTGACTCCCCTGGACTGCCGAGGCCTCCTCCCGGTGCTCTGCTGCTATCTGGTGTTCTTCCACGTCGGTCAGCCACGTGTGGGAAGCTACGGGCCACCAGCTCGCTTTCCCAGCCTGCCTGGGCCCCTTGCAGCCAGACTCAGGGTTGTCTGGCAGTCCTAAAGTTACACTCCCCTGACCTTAGTCACAGATAATGAAAACGAATCTAAGAGGAATTCTCCAAGAATCTGCCAGAGAAAGATGTTTACTCCTCCTTCCGGCTTAGTCTTAAAACACTTGAAGTATCACTTATCTAAGGGCGACTCAGTCTGTGTCGTTTCATAATGTGTGATTCAGTTACTATGTCCAGAGTGCTTAAACTATTCTGTCCACCAGGAAGCTCAGCTCACTCCCATATAAAAAATAATAATGACAATAGTGCCTCGTTGACAATAGTGAACCCTGGTTCACCAGCAGACCCTCCACCCTGCCTCTTGGTTGCTGCTTTAGTCAGCTTTCCCTTACTCTGACAAAGTACACCTGAGATAGTCGACTGACAAGAAGAGAAGGTCATTCTGGCTCATGGTTTCAGGGTGTGGCCCGTGGTTGCTTGGTCCTGTTAGAACAGCATGGCACAAGTGTGTGGCAGAGGGTGCCTGCTCACCTCGTGGAAACAAAGGGCGGGACAGGAGGGGTCCCGGGGGTGTCCCCTCCGAGGACACACCCCCACTGACCTGACCGCCTCCCACTAGGCCCTACCTCCTAAAGTCTCCCCATTTCCCAGTAGTACCACACATTGGGGACCAACCTTTATGACATGTCAGTCTTTGGAGGACAGTTACCAAACCATAGCAGTTGCCTTTCTACCTTCTGCCTCCCCGCCCATCTCCTGCTTCTCCGGGGTGTTCTGCTCCACAGTGAGGTGTTAAGTGACGGCACAGCGAGCTCCCCGTTTAGCTAGGCTCCCCTCTGATGACTGTAGGTCTCTTGCCTCCACTGCCCAGAGGGCAGAAGCCTTTCTGAGTATGACAGGTGGACTTCTGGGAGAAGGCCAGAACTCAGGGACCAAGTGATGCGCATGCTCTGAACATCAGATTCCTCCTGTCCTTCCACGAACCCACTGACCCTTCAGCTCCTGCTCCCTGCCCCTGATTGAGCCCTCCAGCTCTGCACCCAGCTTTCCTGGATTCCCACCACGCAGCCATCTCCCTGGGAGTTGAACAGTATCCTCAGCTGAGGCAGAAAGGATCAGGAAATAACTGCCAGAGTCCAGAAAATATTTCCTAGAATTTATAGGATGAATCCAGGTCCCTCATGTGCCACCTAATAATAAGTTTTATAAATAGGAGTTTGTGTGTATACTTCCTACCTGAGGAAGCATCTACCAGGTCACTCTGTGTTTCTGGTGCTGGGTGGGCTCAGGACACAGGTGCAAAACCTGGATTGAAAGGGGATGGCGGCGCGCCCACGCCAGACAGATGAAGACCTCATTATTTTGAAAATGCTTTCCATAGTGGCAGGGTCACGGGATTGTAGCTCCTGACGTCTGATAGAACCTCATGTCCTAGATTGTAGAGGTCCTCTTTTTAATCTCTCTTGGGTGTTTAACATTTTGAACAGGATTACATGCAGAATGTTCACGGTAAAGAGATTGATCTTCTGAGAACCACTGTGAAAGTCCCAGGGAAGAGGCCACCCCGAGCCACGTCGGCCTGCGCGCCCATCTCCAGCCCCAAAACCAATGGCTTGTCCAAGGACATGAGCAGTTTACACATCTCGCCAAATTCAGGTAAGCTCACCCAGACACCCGAGGAACCCAGAGGGACAGCGATGACAGGCGGTGTGGCTGGTGGGCAGGTTGGGCTTCTGAGACCCAGTGGAGTCGTTAGCCCTAGGTCTGGACAGGGGCTGATCACTGTCCCTGTGCCCCTGGGCTCCGAATGCCGCAGTGTCTGCGGCACAAACCAAGCATCCGGTGATCGGAATTGGTACCTAAGGGCTGTCCTTCAAAGGAACAGAACTAATCAATAAAGTATCAAGGATCAACCAGCCTGGTAACTCTGTGGACAAAAGCAGAAAGACTTTTGGGGCAATGTTTAAGGAAACACTGGGCCTACCTAGATTTCAGTGCTCTCCAGTTTGTTTTACCTACCATGGGTCATTCTCTACTGCCACCTGCCTTCTCCTGATTCTCTTTTAAAGGGGAATGTTCCTTTTTCATTGAGGATGATAGAGAGTTGGTGTTTTCTCAAAATTCAGTGTGTTTGCCTGTTCCTGGCCTCAGGGAGCAGGTGCGAACCCTCCGTGCCATTGTTGGTTTTATGTCGGAATCTGTGCCAACGACCGCATGGTGGCCTCCGCCTTCCTGTGACTGCTGATGACCAGAAGGGGTGAGGGCCCCTGAGTCCTCCAGGGACGCACTCGGGCACCTTCAGCACGTGGAACCTCATTGTTTCCTCCAGCAAAGGTCCCTTCTTCTCCGCCACCTCCAGCCAGTTCTTCCCCAGACAGCAGTCTCCAGCCTAAGGCTGGCTGTGTAAGGGTGCCGCGTTGCCCATCCGAGACGCTCGGTGCTCCTAGGGAGGGATGGTGCCGTCTGCAGGGTGTGTGAACGACCTGGGTGGTTGAAGGGGATGGTGAGCAGGAATCAGAATTGGGGGCCCACCTGGGCTCCGCCTCACAGGGCCAGGGGCCTTGTGCAGGTCGCTGAGGGGCAGAGAGCAATGCCAGGCCAGGGAGCACATGGGGAGGCACAGGGCGAGGGGCAACGGGAAGACGCTATTGCTGTGCATCAGGCTGAAAGCTGACTTCCTCCAGAAAGGCCAGGAGGTGATTCACGTGGCTTCCTGTGACCTGCTGACCTTTCTCCCAAAATGTCCGTGGGAGTTCCCTTGTTGGGGTGGTGTGTGAGTGGGTGGGAAGAGAGGGGAGAAGGGCAGGGAGGAAAAGGGTGGTACAGCGAGTAGAACACCCCGCCACTCCCCACGTCGCAGAGGCGTCCACCCGACAGGAGTGCCCTCGAGCACCAGCGCCGGGCGGGAGCTGTCGTGCTGTGGGGAGAGCCCTGGCCGCCGTGTGGCCGGCCATTTCACCTCCATCTGACCACGTGACATCTATCCATGTATTTATTCAAGTCAACAGATGTCAATCAAGTCTCCTCTGTTAAAAAAAAAAAATTATGGGAAGTTTTCTGACAAAGTGCAGAAGCACCTGCTAGATGAATTGTGACCTGTCATGTTCTGTTCTTTCTTAATGAGCAAAACTTGCGTGTGTTAGTGACATGCGGCTTGGTATCTGGAAGTGTGTTCACATTGCAGATGGCCAGGTAGAGCCACTTATCCAGCTGCTGACGGGTCCCTGCCTCTGTCCTCCGCCCCAGTGGCACCATCAATAAGACATGATCCCCACCCTAGAGATCCTCACCCTCATATGGGGGAGAGACAAAAAAAAAAACAGATGCAGCCCTGCACGGCAGGCCACGGGGACCCAAGGAAGGGGGTCCACCATGGCAGGGTGCGCCCCATCCAGGAGGTGAGCCAGGGCCTCCTGCTCAGGACATCTGTGTTGGAGTGGGACCAGGGACAGGAATCTGGGTACACAGGACAAGGGAGCAGCCCTGAGGAGTGGAGAGGTGTGGAGTGGGTAAGATGGGGACCTTGAGCGTCTCGGGCTTGAGACTAGAGCACCTTGGGCTGAAATCCACTGTCCTAAGGAAAATTAAATGTTTTCTTCATAAATAAAAATGCAAGCGGCCACACACACCCTACCGCCTCCATGGAGTGGGTGATGTCACCCTCCTTCACGGGTGAAGGCATTCCCAAGGCCCAGGCTCATTCTCCGTGAGACCCTGGGCAAGTGCAAGGGTCTGGGCAGGATGAGGGTCCCTGCTCTGGCCACGCCTCTCAGCTTGGGGTGGCGTCAGCCCTCCCGGAGGCGGCAGGAACTTCATTAAAACGTTGTGGCATTTTAATTTACATCGGCCTCCTAAACTGAACCTTAATCTGCAAAATGAGACCTTCTTTCTTGCTTAAGAAATTAAAGCCTTACGATTTGAGATTTCACATACTCTAAATTACTCTTGGAAAATGAGCTCCCTGTGTCTGAAATCATTCATAACACGCTCATGCTCTCTGCGTGGGGATTCCAGCCCAGCAACTTGAATCTGCAGTAAAGCGGCCCAGCGCTGAGGTGGCGCAGCTCTCGGCCAGCGTGGGCCTGGAGCCCTTCGCCATGGCCTTCCTGGGTCACTCCTGTCACTCTCCGCCCTCCACTCTTTGGAATGCTGCTGCTTGGCTCTTTGGGGCTTCTGGGTCAGCTGGAGAGGCCGGCCACCCTTGGTGCTTCCTGTGCTTTTTCCCCCCGCTGTCTGATCTTGGTGTTGCTGACCTGGATCAGCGTTGTGTGCCTTCCCTTCTGGTGGGCCTGGCATGCACAGACCTGCTGAACCTGAATCTGCAAAATGATACCTGACACTTGTTATTGCTGGAGAGCAAACGCCGTGAGTAGAGTGACCCCGTCAGTGGGCAGCACCACTCACATGGTTTCACGTGAACTTCCAGAAAGAGTCACACACAGTGCCGTCCATCCAACGGCCAGCGCCACGCCACCTTGCGTACTGGCTGGTGCTCCTGTTGGGCATCATACATCATCTAGGCTGATCCAATCACAGTAGCTCCTGCTGTCTCCGGATTGCTTGGGTGGGAGTGAGGCTGAGCCTCTTGTATGCTCCATGGCCACCCGTGTTTCCTGCAGCCATTTAAATTTATCCTTTGCCATTTTTTCACTAGGTACCTGACTTTTTCTTACTGATGTGTCAGACTCTTTTTATATTTAGGATATTAATAGTTTATAATATGTTTTTTAAATAGCTCCCCAGTTTATTATTTGCTTTGTAAATGTTATGGTCTTATTTTCATATACAGATTTTCCCCCTTTTTTTCCTATATAACGAAATCATAAGTCTTATACTTGTAGGTTTCCATTTTAAACTGTATAGAAAGCTTCAATAAGTCTGAAATCATTTCACAGTTGATAGATGTGCACATCCAAGTTTATAGTTTTATTACTGTTTTGTTCCCTTGTTCCAAAACATGATTAGTCTCCAGTCTACCTTGGACTTGTGTGGATCCATGTGTGTGACAGGAAGTAGCAGTAGGTTGCCAGTCATCCCCTCTCTCTGATGAGCCTGCGTGTCCTCGTTGCGCAGCTGAACCTTTGCTAATACCCGCTTCTGGCCCCTGGAGTCCACTCCGCGGGACCCACTGTTGCAGGTTGCCTTGCCTTGGCTTCGTTTGCCAGATTGTCTTGGCTTCATGGCTACATTCCCATCTGGTAGAGTTACAGCTTCTCCTTTACCCCCCCCCCCCGAGTTTTTCTTGGCCACTGTTACCTGTTTGTTTATTTATTTTTTAATGAACTTCAAACCTCTCTCCCGCCACCAAATCCCCCGGGCCGATCTTAGTTGGCGCTGCTGTTGGGCTGTCAGTTAGGTGCAGCGGGACGCATCTTCCCTATGCTGAGTTTCTTATCGTGGAGCACAGTTCTTACCTGGTCCACTCAAATTTGTTTCTCACTCCCCAGTGAAATTTGGTGTTTTCCTTCATTTAGATCTTGTCTGGTCTCATTAATCCATTCTGTTCATTTATTACTTGTGGTGCATTGCGAGGGGGAAGTCTATTATATCATCTAATTGGTGAGATATAAGGGAGCTGCTACTTTTTGCATTTAGTGAATCCAGCCACCTTACCAAACTCCTGTTAGTTGGAATATCTGTTTGGATGCTTCTCTTGATTTTGCAGAATAGTTATATTACAATGAAGCATTCCCAATTCAAATGTTACAATTCCTAACTATGTATCAACGTTGACCTCAAGTTCTACCAACCTGTTTAATGATCTGGATATCTTTTTGCTTTGCCTCTTGTGTCTTTGATTTTCCATTATTATTGAGTTTGCTGCATGGTCAACCCTCATTAATGCTCTGGACATTGTGGGGAGGGGGCAGGACAAGCCTGTCTCCCTGGGAGCCTACCACCCCGTGGGGGTGGCAGAGTCAGAAGAGAAGCACACGGTGAGATGGTAAGAGCGGGCATGGATGCCGTGGTTGGACAGGAGACTGCTGGTGGGGAGGCGTGTTGTGTTATACCTGATTCACTGGAAAATAGTTTGCTAGTTCTGAAACAGCAACTGCATTTCACACATCGAAATGCAGGAAAAGGGGTGGTCTTCCTTTCAGTTTTTGCCATGGGCTTGGAACAAAGGGGGGAAACTCGCTGTCGAAACAGCTAGTTTAGTGCTGATCCCTGAGCCCAGAGCTCACTCTGGGGCCCCGCAGAGGCACTGCAGAGAGACCACAGTGAGGCAGGGAGCCCCTGACTCTGTGTGGCAAGTGTGGAGGACAAGACTGGGCAGTGGCACCACGGCCCACGGTCGATCGCAAGAAGAGCCAGCCAGTGTCATCCCTGCCACCAGCCCCACTGAGGGAGCAGCATCTGCACTGAGGAGAAGACCTGGGTAGATTGGCACCTCTGACCAGGGCTAATGCTTGAAAGGCAGGAAAACAGACCTTGGCACATTCACCAAGAAAGACAGATAAATAGCAAGGCAAGGCAGCTCCGAGCAGAAGCCACATGCTAAACTCTGCCAGCCTACCCAGAGACCACTCTGTCAGTCTAAGCTGAAACTCCCCAGTCCTGTGTGCCACTCGCTTGCTCTGAGTCCATAGCCAGTCTTCGCCTTCAGGAACAAGTTGCTCAAGGCTGCAGAGATCTGCCACCTCAACCCCCTGCTC